TGTAAACGCACTTCGCTGGACGGAGTGCAGTAAGGGAAAAGCCATACAGAAGGACAACAAACCCCCCTTTTGCTGTCTGCACCATCACAGGAGGCAATTGTTATACTTCTTCCTCTGTTCAGGCGTCCTACTAATCTCAATTACCTGCTTAGAGGGCATGCTACATAAACTGTAGAGAATAGTTTTTGTTTCTAACCAGTGTAATGTGTGAGTTTATGAAATACTTCCTTTTGTATATACGTGTACACATAAATGTACCTAGATTTAAATGCGTCTGTGGTGCTTTATTTATACGTAAGTATGCAGGAAACAACGAGATAGTTAGAGGGGTTTACAGCTTCCACGCCCCATGTAAGGCAGAGGCACATACAACTACGGCAAAGAATAAAGGATATCAAAGTATAAGATTTATATTTAAATATTTATTCTTTTTTCCTTCGTTTCTCTTCTATTAGGGGCAGGGCTCTACTCTACTCTATGATGCAGTATTCTGCATGCTGCGCAGCGCCGACTAGCGGCATTGTTGTCAGCAACAGCAGCTCACCTCCATCTATTTGATAATTAATTCCTTTTATTAAGATCAATTTAATTCATAATTCATTCATAGATTGATTTTTCGTTCTTCTTCCTCTCCACAACCCATCCCCCCGCTGGTCACCTGCAGGCGACAGAAGGACCAACAGCGGCGAGGGGTTTGCTTTTTTTTGTTTGTCTTGAGGTTTTCTTCTTTTTTCTGCTTATTTTCAGCGGATAAAGAAACAAATTAACCACAGAGTTCGCTATACACTATCGAAGGGCGCTGCGGTCCCAATGTAGGCGACGCTGCGGTCCTGAAGACAGACGCTCACTATATATAAACATGCAGCAGCACTGCAGAACATAGACGCAACAGAAACACCCATAATCAGCAGCAGCAGCAGCTGTTGGAGGAACAGGCGGATCCCAGAGCAGCAGGAAGTTCTGAAAGAAAGGCTGCGACTGTAACCGCAAGGGCATTGGCAGCGCAGCAGCAATTCGAAGATCACAAGCAGTACAGCAACGGGTGCAGCAGCAGCAGCAGCAGTTTGAAGCAGAATGTCGGACTCAGGCTCAGGATCGGTGTCTTGCCGTTGGCTGGAATGTGCATGCGCTGGTGAACAGCAGCCCTTCACCTTTTCGCTTAACAACAGAACTTTCCTTGTAAGAAAGATGAAGGCAGCCGATTATCCCGCAGTTCGTGCTCTTCTACCGCTAGTGAGCCGTTGCCAGCAGCAGCTGCAGGAGCCGCAGCTGTCGGAGGTGCTGAGGCTGTCAACGTATATACCTTTTTGCTGCTTCGCTGCAGCTGATACTCCGGATGCTACTGCTGCTGGTGCAGCTGGGTCTGCTGCTTCAAATGGAACAAATGGGTGCGCATCTAAGGGGCTGATTGAGGGGCCTCTTTGTGGGTTTTGTGAGGTGTATATACAGCCCCACTTGGGCCGTGCAGCAGACGGGAGGCTGGAGAGGGTTGTAGTTTCTCCTGAATACAGGGGCCAAGGTATAGGGACAGCATTATGCAGAGTTGTGCTGCAGTTTGCTAAGGAGCAGCTCGGCATAGGTAGAATAGACCTCACTGTTGAAAAAGAAAATGCAAGGCATATTTACACCAAGCTGGGATTCGAACCCGTACGCACTGAGACGCTCAGATTGCAAAACTAAGCCCAAGGGCAGCGCCAACTGTCTTCTCACCAGTTCAAATAACGCGGTGAAGAACGCTGAAGCCAAACCGTTATATTTCAACAATTGTTAACTATATCTGTAGTAGCGGATAACGGCAGTATATATATATATATATGCATGTATCTATATATATGCATATGCATATGCATATATATATATATATATATATATATATGGTGAATATTCATTGCTGACGTTACGAACATTAATGTTACTAGTGGTAATAGTAACATGAATAAGAGATGAATAAGCAGCATTGGTAGGGACAACAATAGAGAATGTGGCTAAGACGCATAATAGAGGATGCAGCTGAGGCGTCTTTAACAGAGGCAAAGAAGAAGACGGAAGAAGTAGTCAGAAATAAATACTTAACTTAGAATACTTAATTTGAGTGGTGGCCTCCTCGTTAGGCGGAGAGAGGAAGAGAGATATTGGGGCGCATGCAACTAACTTAGTTCGAATAGAAGAGCAGACAAAGTATTTAGAGCCCTTTGTCTGCCTCTGACACAAATGTATGTCATAGCTAGAACCACAGTCAGATACAGGCACCATACGGAGACAACGGAGACAGTGAAGGCAGCGGATGAGAAGAAGGAAGAAAAGGCAAAGAAACAAACAAACAACAGATAAACGGAGACAGGTAGAGACGAAGAGAGGAAAAACATATATCCCTGTCAACAGCTTTACTCTTGGGCAGGGCCAGCCACCTTTAAACTATATTGTTGGGGGCTGATGCACGGCGTCGCCTGGCAACGCCGTGCCCCAGCTAGCTACCTTGCTAGCATGTAGCCAGGCAGCTAGCTAGCTAGCTAGCTAGCTGGT